TGGAAGAGTTGTAGAACCAAAGAGGGCTGTCTCGAGAGAAGATTCTCAAAGACCTGGTGCCCACCTAACTGTGAAAAAGATTTTTGTCGGTGGCATTAAAGAAGACACTGAAGAACATCATCTAAGAGATTATTTTGAACAGTATGGGAAAATTGAAGTGATCGAAATCATGACTGACCGAGGCAGTGGCAAAAAGAGAGGCTTTGCTTTTGTAACATTTGATGACCATGACTCTGTAGACAAGATTGTTATTCAAAAATACCATACTGTGAACGGCCACAACTGTGAAGTAAGGAAGGCTCTGTCTAAACAAGAGATGGCTAGTGCTTCCTCCAGCCAAAGAGGTCGAAGTGGTTCTGGAAACTTCGGTGGTGGTCGTGGAGGTGGTTTTGGTGGGAATGACAACTTTGGTCGTGGAGGAAACTTCAGTGGGCGTGGTGGCTTTGGTGGCAGTCGAGGTGGTGGTGGATATGGTGGCAGTGGGGATGGCTATAAAGGATTTGGTAATGATGGAAGCAACTTTGGAGGTGGTGGAAGCTATAATGATTTTGGCAATTACAACAATCAGTCTTCAAATTTTGGACCCATGAAAGGAGGAAATTTTGGAGGCAGAAGCTCTGGCCCCTATGGTGGTGGAGGCCAATACTTTGCCAAACCACGAAACCAAGGTGGCTATGGCGGTTCCAGCAGCAGCAGTAGCTATGGCAGTGGCAGAAGGTTTTAATTACTGCCAGGAAACAAAGCTTAGCAGGAGAGGAGAGCCAGAGAAGTGACAGGGAAGCTACAGGTTACAACAGATTTGTGAACTCAGCCAAGCACAGTGGTGGCAGGGCCTAGCTGCTACAAAGAAGACATGTTTTAGACAATACTCATGTGTATGGGCAAAAAACTCGAGGACTGTATTTGTGACTAATTGTATAACAGGTTATTTTAGTTTCTGTTCTGTGGAAAGTGTAAAGCATTCCAACAAAGGGTTTTAATGTAGATTTTTTTTTTTTTGCACCCATGCTGTTGATTGCTAAATGTAATAGTCTGATCATGACGCTGAATAAATGTGTCTTTTTTTAAAAAAAATAAAATAAAATAAAAGTTTGGGAAAAAGTTCTATCTGGGAGTGGTTACTGGATGGAAATATTTTAAAATTATTTTTATCATAGAGTTTAGTATGTTTTCAAATAATAGACTTTAGTGGTGCCTGGGTGGCTCAGTTGGTTAAGTGTCTGACTCTTGATTTCAGCTAAGGTCATGATCTCATGACTCATGGGTTCAAGCCCTGTGTTGGACTCTGTGCTGACTGTGCAGAGCCTGCTTGGGATTCTCCCTCTCTTTCTCTCTTTCTGACCTTCCCATGTGCTTCTTCTCACTCTCTCTCAAAATAAATAAATAAACTTCAAGAAAAAACAAAACAAAACAAAGAATAGACTTTGAAGCCTAATGTACTATTTTCTCCAGTGTCATAGTGAGCCAAGATTTGGGGAGCCTTGGTTGTCATTAGAATTTGCATTTTTGAAATGAAGTAATGAAATCAGTGGGACTTTCCTGCCTAAGTTTCCATGAACATATCTTCTTTCCAATAAATGGTTCTTGTGAAGCATAAACAATGTATTTAGAATGGACCAAATAACATCAACTATAACAATCTAATTTTTTTAAGAAAAGTTACAATCACATTTTGATGATTCTTTATGTTGAGACTTGTATAGAAATAATAGCTTTTTAGGAACTTATTTCATGACTCTAATCTTTTCTAAAATTTCATATGTATATAAAGTTACATATACAAATGACATTATAAATAAAATTAATATTTAACCTTAATGATCATAAACAATTAATTAAATAAATAATAATTAAATAAATATATATAAATATATGATATATTTTTGAATTACTTAGTTCACCCATTAAGGTGTAATTTTAATAAAAAATTTAGAGCTTATAAACTATTTAACCTTGGGGAACCTAGGTGGCTTAGTAGGTTGGGTATTCGAATTCAGCTCAGGTCATGATCTCACGGTTGTGAGTTTGAGCCCTGTGTCAGGCTCCATGCTGACAGCTCAGAGCCTGGAGCCTGCTTTGGATTCTGAGTCTTCCACTCTCTTTTCCCTTCTGCTGCTAACTCTCTCTCTCTCTAAAGATACATAAATATTTTTTAAAACCCTATTTAACCTTTAATAAATTTTTAAAAATTAAAATTAAAAAATAAATCTGCTCTGAAGGAAATTTTGTGGTTTTAGGTATCAATGATAGTTTGTACTTTTTGGTTAAAATATTTATTCAGATTCCCAACATGAATTTTTAAGAGGGAAACTAGAAAAAGAAATAGAAACAGATGCTATTTATAATATAAAAGCCATGGGGTGCTTGGGTGGCTCAGGTGGTTAAGCTTCTGACTCTTGGTTTCTGCTCAGGTCATGGTCTCATGGTTAGTGAGTTTGAGCCCCACATCAGGCTCCACACTGATGGTGCAGAGCCTGCTTGAGATTCTCTCTCCTTCTCTCTCTTCTTTTTCCTCTCTTTCTCTCCTTCCTCCTCTCTCTCCCTTTCTTTCTGCCCTTCCCTTACTTATGCACTAAATAAATAAATAAATAAATAAATAAATAAATAAATAAATAAGAATAGAAAAGCCACACTGTTTCAAATATTTAAATACTTTAAAAAATCACAAGTGGATTTTCTTTGCAAGAAAAGTAGAATAAAGTGCTATACTAAAATTATTTACAGTCTAAGTTTTCTCATCCATCAGAAAAAAAAAACAATTTCTTGTTATAATTCAAGTAAGTTGTTAAAAATAGCAAATCTCTAAATATAATCCACTATATACAATGGATAAACACTATGTGAAATTAATGATGATCTGTGTAAATAAATTATAAAGCACTTTTATGGAAATGTGAAGAAAAAGCACAGCTTATAAAATGGCCAAAATATTTGGCTCTCATGATGCCATGTGGTAAATAAAATTACACAAATTAAAATATCAAGTGTTATAAAATTGTTTTTAAAATTGTCAATTGCCAGAAATTCCAAAGTGCTTTGCTTTATATTATTAAGTATATGTCAGACAGAACAAGAATACAACCAATCATCCATCCAGAAAACCAGTCAATTCTTATCATCTGAGCTCTGTTTCAAGTTTTTCCAGTTCCACTATCAATATTAAATTCCACAGAATTTCTAATAAATATGGGGTGTACATATAATTTAACTTATTAATTGTATATTTTATGTGTTTGCTAGTTTTATGTTTATTTTTTTAATTTATAGTTTTTTTAACATTTATTTTTGAAAGACAGAGAGAGGCAGAGCATGAGCAGAGGAGGGGCAGAGAGGGAGGGAAACACAGAATCTGAAGTAGGCTCCAGTCCCTGAGCTTTCTCTGTCCTTACAGAGCCCCATGTGGGACTTCAACCCACAAAGAGTGAGATCACGATCTGAGCTGAAGTCGGACACTTATCTGACTGAGCCACCAGGCACCGTTGCTACTTGTACATTTTTATTGAAGTTTAAAATCTTTTTAAAAATATTGAGTTTTAATTGATGAGATATTTGCTAACATTCTTTTGTACTAAGTTAATCCATACCATTTTTCATATTAAAATCTTTTGTGCCCTTAATTTGTAAACACTCTCCTATAAACTGGTAGGAGAACCTACCATTTAAACTGGTAGTTTAAATGACCTATACTATCTTCAGTATATAGTAGGCACCTTTCATAAGGATTCAACGTCTCTTGAATGAGATTTTACACCTTACCTATAGGTAAGGGTATTTGTATGGAAAAGAAGTGCTTGATTTCAAATTTTCAGAATGGAGAATAAACAAAAAAAAAGCAACCTACTTAGCCATTGCACATGTTTTAAAATGTATCAGTTTTACTTGTAGTCAATTACAAATGTCAGCATTTAGAATTATCACTATAAAGTGGTATATTTTATTTATTTTAAAACATTATATATAAAATATATTATTCTATTCTATTGTATTATATATAGTATTTATATATAAGATATTACAATGTATATATTACATATTTTTATATAATTTTTGGATGGAATGTTTTTGAGTATTCTTTCCTCTTTGGAACTACTACTCTTCATTTTTATTACTCAAAAGATATTTTTGTTTTTTGTCTATATATATTTTTTTAATTAAGTCCAAAGTAGTGTTTCAGTGGAAGGCAGATGTCAGGTAGATGATGACAGTTCCCCGAAGAGGCCATTTTGTATGTCGAGCAGATCAATACAGATTAATTTTAATTTGAAAACTGAGATAAATGAAACAACAGATTAATAAATGTTAGTGTGACAGTTTTGAAAGTGAAAACTTTATTTTAATGACTGAGTCAGAATATTTCATTAACAAAATGCACATTTAATTATGTGTTTTGAGCAATATTGTACACAAAATGGAAAAATAGTAGAACTCATTACTAGTCTACAGATGTTTTATGCAATTTTTAAACTGTATACAAAAATTGATGGTACTTCTTTGTCTATAAGCCATCTGGTCATATTTTATTAAGACATCTGTCTGTTCTTTGTATAAAAATATAATCAAATCAGAATAGATTTAACTTAGATGCAAACTGTGGAAATTGAGATTGTAGTTATTCAAAGAAAAAACAATAAAATGAAATACATACTACTTGCCTATTGGCAGTGTACCTAAAAAGTTGATACGAGAAACTTCAGAAGCAGCCCAAGGAAATACAAATTTTCTGCCTGGACTGTATTTCTTTTTTCCCTACCAAATCTTTCCTTGCTCTGATCACATAATACTCTGCTTCTGCAGAACCAAATGCACTGAATCTTTCTATTTTAAAATTTTAATATAACAAAGCTAGTTGGCAACTCCCAAAATTTTGGCTGATTTAGCTCAAGTGAAAAACTTTTATAATTCCAGCAGCTTATTGAGGGGAAGCATTAATTATATGCTCTGTGAAAAAAGAGCATTTAGGTGGTAGATCTCTTCTCCCACTTGTGTGTTTCTCATCTCAGATCTAGGATATGGATCCTCATATTTTCCAGAAGATATCTGATGCTGAAGTACAAGGCTGCTGAAACTCCTGGTTTGTTCTTAGTTGCCTCTGATGGTAAGTCTGATCTTTTCTCAGTCTGATCTGTGGTCTTGTTATAAAGTGAATGTTGTGTTCTCTCAAAATTGTAATGTTAACCCCCCCCCCCATATAATAGTACTAGGAAGTAAGGTCTTTGGGAAAGAATTACGATTAGGTAAGGTTATGAAGGTGGAGATCTCATGGATAGGATTAGTGTTTTTATAAGAGTCAAAAGCCACCTTGCTTCCTTTCTCTGCTCTCCACCATGTCAGGATATAATAAAAAGTCTGCAATCCAGGGCCGCCTGGGCGGCTCAGTGGATAAGTGTCTGACTTCAGCTCAGGTCACGATCTTGCGGTTTGTGAATTGGAGCCCCATATTGGGCTCTGCACTAAGTGTGGAGCCTGCTTGGGATTTGCTCTAGCTCCCTCAATTTCTGCCCCTCCTCCACTTGTGTGCATACATGCGTGCTCTCTCCCTCTCAAAACAAACAAACAAACAAATACATAAATAAACTTAAAAAAATAAGCTTATAATTCAGAAGGGAGATCTGACCAGAACCTGACACAGTGGTACCCTGATCTTGGACATCTAGCGTCCTAACTGTAAGAAAGAAATTTATGTTGTTTATAAGCCACCTGGTCTATGGTATTATGTGATAGCAGCCCTACCTAGACAGAAATTGGTAGCAAGAGTGAAGTGCTGCTGTAACAAATACCTATAAACATGGAAGTAGCTTTGGAACAGGGTAATGGACAGAGTTTTGAGGTACATGCAAGAAATATGGATGTTAAGGGGGATTCTGGTGGGGACTCCGAAAGAAAAGAGAAGAGGTGTAGAGAAAGCCTGAATCCTTTTAGACAATATGTAAAGAATGATGAATAAGATGTTGGTAGAAACATAGATACATAAAGGCCATTTGATGAAGTTTCAGAGAGAATGATTTGTGTATGTGAGTATGATCAAACAAAGGCAGTTCAGAAGTCTTTGGTAATGATGAAAATAGACAGGACTTGATAGAAAAATGTGAGGAACAGATAGAACTCCAAAGGCACACAGCAAAGGATATACCAATTGAGTAAACTGTGATTGAAAGCAAAAAACCTGTGTCATGACAGGAAGGAAATATCTCTGTGGTGTGTACCTTCAGGACGTCTCAGTCTAACTCTGCTACTTGATTTGTCCTCTGAAAGGAGGCCAGGCAGTGGCCAGATGAGTCCAGGAATAACTCATTCCACAACATCTCAGGAAGTTACCTTCAGAAACCTGTGTGGTTCAATTATTAAGAAAGTCTCTATCTCTATGACTGACAGTTGTGTGGAAAACAGGTGGCTTACATGTTTGTCTTCTATTATTGGCTGACACATCCAAAACAAAAGTTGAATGCTTTAAGAGCTTCTGATTTAGGTTTATCCTCAGTCAGGGGAGGAAAATATAAATGATGGTAGATACAGAAAAGTGATTTATATATTTGAGAGTTAGGATTAATCTTGGAAATAATTTAAAATTCAGTTTCCATTAACTGTAGTAATAAAGAATGTTGGCCTTTCATCAGTGGGCCAGTGGACAAGGGGACAAGATTAATGGTATTAAAACTCATTTAACCAGACCTTCAAATAAGAATCTCTGAGCGCATATGGAGAAATAATTATATTGTTTTGGGTTGGAGAATTAAGATGAGAAATGATTGATAAGATTTAGATGGCATATCTAAACCCAGTCCAAGCAAATGAAATTAAGAACAGGGTTAATCTCTTCATTAGGAAACTGAACTGAAGACAGGAAACAAAACCCACTTGCATCACCAGGCATAGGACTTTGGAGTTAGGAAGAGAGAGTGGCCAAGTGTTCACGGGCTGTTGGATAGTTTTAAAGGAGTAAATTCTATTCTCAAACCCATTTAGTAATTTATAACGTAGTTACAAGGTTGGTCAGAACCAGCTTGAAGGTCTGGTAACCAGAAAGAATTAGAGGAAGGAGACTTGACATGTGGTATTCTTCATTCATATTAAAGACTTCAACAGATCCTAAATCCACTTATAGTAGCTTCAAATACAGTTTGAAAATGAGAAATATTCTGATGTTCCCAGAATATCATAACAACACAGATAAATATTGACTGTATCACCTTGAGCTTTTTTATTGCTGAAGCATAATATTTGACCAAACTAAATAAGTGCCTGAAGCATTTGTGATTTAGTTTAGTAAGAAGCTAGAAATATTGAATGTCTTTTCAAAAAATTTTTTACATTTATTTATTTTTGAGAGACAGAGTGAGACAGAGCGTGAGTGGGGGAGGAGCAGAGAGAGGAGACACAGAATCCGAAACAGGCTCCAGGCTCTAGGCATGCATTCAGCACAGAGCCTGACGCAGGGCTTGAACCCACGAACCATGAGATCATGACCTGAGCCAAAGTCGGACACTCAACCAACTCAGGCACCCCAGAAATATTGAACGTCTTAATCCAACTCAGAATCACTTGAAGAATTTTATATTTAAGTTGGATTAAAACATTTTTCTTAATTTTTCCTGTGGATTATTCTCTTCTATGGTTACTAAAACCTGATTTGCACAGATCTTTCATACCGAACGATCCCTGGACAAAGACTGAAAGTCCTTGTTATCCTGTGCAATGGTGGGCAATAAATGTTGCCTGAGTACAAAGTTAGTCCTACCCAATTCTTGTACTTAATAAATGCTTCCTTAGTACCTTTTGTGTATCAGAGACTATGTACCATGCCAGAAATATGAATAAGGAACAATTATATAATCTAGTGAAAGAGTTTGGCAAATATACAAGCCAACTAGTGAGTATAATAATAACTAAATTAAGCAAAAGCAGGGTGCATTAGGAGTCTTCTTTGGACTCCCTCCTCTTCCCAACTGGATCAGATTCTCAAGTAGGATCGGGGTGAATTCTGAAAGGCTTTCCCCAATATATTCCTAAGCCAAAAGCTGAACACAAAGCAGGATTTGGCCAGGTAAGCAAGAAGCAGTGGTTTGGAAGACCATCTCAAGGGGAAGTAATAACATAAATGAATTCCTATGAACATTAGAGAGCCTGGTCTATTTAGGAATTGATGCATATTTCGGTATTGTTGAAAGATAGTGTAAGGAGAGAGGCATAGAGTGGTAGGTAGAAAGATGAGCTTAGTAAATAGGCAGATGCCTGTTTAAGTATATTTTCAGGCCAGACTATTACATAGCAGTATAGTTGGGACTTCTTCATTCATGTTAGTAAGTGGAGCTTGGAAGGGTTCGGCTGCCTGCACAAACCTTATCCGTAGCATATGTGACCCACCTGCTTGAAGCTTTCTGCTAACCTCCAGGTTTCTACTCTTCTCCTCTGGGACAGAAGCTTTTCCTCACTTCTATGTGGCTTGCTCCCCTCACTTTTCTCTCCCTCTCCCTTGGTTTTCACATCTCTCTAAATTTGGTTGCCACATTAGGGTTCTCCAGAGAAAGAAGAACCAATAAGATATATATATATAAAAGAAATTTATTATGAGGGACTGGCTTATGTAATTATGGAGGCTGAGAAGTTCTGTGATCTGCTGTTTGCAAGCTGGAGGCCAGAAAAGCCAGTGGTGTAGTTCTAGTTCTAACCTAAAGGCCTGAGAACCAAGAAGCCAATGATGTGAGTTCCAGTCCAGTCCAAAGGCCTGATTCAAATGCTCCTCTTCCAGAAATACCCTCACAGGCACACCAGAAATAATTTTTACCAGCAGTCTGGGCATCCCTTAGCTCAATTCAATTGACATACAAAATTAACCATTATAGCTGGATGCTATTTTCTCATGTTCTCTCGCATTGCCTCTCCTAGGTCTTTCTAATCATTAATTTATACCCTCAAGACCATCTTGGACATAGTCAGATTATCAGTCAGACTTAGAATACATTAGTCATTCTTTATTTGTTCTGAAGAATGTCAATTCTTATGAAAAAGAAGAGTTCCATGGTCAAACACATCTGGACAGTGCTGTGAAGGGGACAGCTCTTCCATGGGCCCTGCTTAACTTGCACATATCCACGTAAACCACACAGGCAAGGGCTTGAACCACACAGTTAACTTGAGTCTTGGCAGAATGCCTCGTGGATTCTTCATGAGGGATGGAAGCCTTAATAAGGAGCTACTACAAGATTATCTCCAATTTGCTTACTTATGTCCCCTGAGGGGCTATCAACAGTTTCTTATCACCTACCAGGTTCTGATGAGGTTTGGGGTCTACTTGCCATAGAATATAGAATGCAGAAGATAAAACCACTTAGCTATAGTCCAGAGTTTGCTTTTCAGCAATGGAGTCCATCAAAACTCACTGAATTTATCTGGCTCCTTTTGTTTCAAATCCTTTTTGGTGTGTGGGATAAGCTCCAGGAAGCTAGTACCTTTGGTTAATCTTCCTTTCACTATGTAAATAATAAACGGAGTCTAAAAGTTTCTTGTCATATCTTTCCTAGTCAAATCAGTCAGATTCTGCCTTGTCTTATCTTGTGTGTGTGCTGATCTACAGTAGCCAATGTGCACCTCCTATAAACTCATAAGGTAGAATCTTAAAGGATCTGAGCAGCCCAGTAGGAAGGGCATCTATTTAACTTTGCTCAACTCAGTGTTGCCTAATTGATTTAAACAAAAAGCTTTGTTTCTCTCACAAAATCCCTACTAAAACCATGTGGAACACAATCTTAGAATCAGTGGACAAACTAGTACTTTGAGTTAGTGTTATTTCTTTTTTTGAGAAGTATATAAATTTCATTTATCATTCATTTAAAAATTAATATTTTCCCTTTTATGGTTTGAAGACTTTTCATCTTCAAGAGAGAAGCTCTAATTCTCTAACGTAAATATCTGAATTTATTTATTTATTTTTAAATATTTATTTATTTTGAAAGAGAAAGCATGAATGGGGGAGGGGCAGAGAAAGACAAGGAGAGAGAGAATCCCAAGCAGGCTCTGCACTGTCAGTGCAGAGCCCAACACAGGGCTCCATCTCATGAACTGTGAGATCATGACCTGAGCCAAAATCAATCATCAGAC